AAAGATATTTTAATTTTGACTTAAATTTGGTGCTGGTGTATAGTTTTACATCAATCAAGAAGCAATTTGCGAAGAAACGTTGAAACTTGAAAAATATGTTAAAAATGTGTTACAATGGCGTTGCTTTTTTCAGTAACAGGTAATCAAACTAATTACTTTTTCTATGCTACACTGATACAGTTACCAACACAGTGTTACTGCACGTTACTGAAGCTACTCACTGAAGATGTCATCTGACTTGGCTCACACAGACACAGGAGCTACAAATGTGTGTGTGTATTTTCCCGTTGGTGAGGGGGGGAGAGGAGGGGTGAAATAACCTCTAAGTAATGATCATTGGCTAAGGTAGAGGAAAAATGAACTTGATACTTTTAAAGTGGAGCAACAGTTATTAACAGAGCTTCTTAACTAGTAACTATAATTACTGTTTCAAAGTAACGTGGCCACCACTTTTGAATAGAGAGTTCAAACCATAGACCATATATATGAGTGGACATAGCTAACGCACTAGCCGCCGTTTGCCAAATAGGAAGATCGCCAAGGAGCTTTTCCGGCTCCTTCTGACCCTAGCTCCAGTTGACTGACATTAGGATCTTGTCGCCCCTGCCTCTGTACCTGCTGCAGTGAGCCTCGACATTTCGGTCTTAAAATGTCCGTATTAACCCATGACTCTTGATCCGTGACACTTTTTTTTTCACTATTTTGTCTGTCAAAAAATATTTGTGTTTGTCAGATAGCAATTTCTGTGTATATTACAGATGTTTGCTAGTGTGATGTCACAAAATTTAACTTCCTGGTTGTAAATTAAGAAAAAAAAACTTATTTAAATTACTTAAAAACATTCATGCACAAAAATAGCTTACATTTAGACGAGTAAAGTAAAGCCTGGTACTATCAGTTGATATAATCTTGGCTCACAAAGTAAGTGCAAAACAAGGCTGCAAAATGTACATAATCTTTCTTTTGTATTATTAGTAATAGGTTATACTTTAATAAAATAAGGTTCAGGAAAGGTCTCATTTTCTGTTTCATTTATGTTAATGCAATTTAGGGACAGACTTTATCAGTTTATCATGTAACACCACCAGAGTCACACAAATGAGTGCCAGCTAGACCGGGGTTCTTGCTAAACAACACTACACAGGTGTTTGAAACAGATCTTAAGCGGTCATAGATTTGGAAGGTGTATCACTACCTTGCAGACAATGCCCTGCTTGTTTTGGCAATACAATTTAAATAGGAATATATTAACCTTTTTGCTTTTTTCCTGGAAGGCTACACCGCCAAGCAACAGGTGTTTGGTGTGAGATAAGACACTAAAGTCTAATCAGTGGTACGACGGAAATCTGGACCCACTACCAGTGTGGTCTATGGGCCAACTTTCTGGAATGTCTTGCTGAATGAGGTTGAATGCAAGTCTGAGGAGCATGAGTGGTCACAAATGGGAACAGGGGAGGTCTTAATGGTTCAACTGTGCCCAGATGAAAGCATGTACACCAGCCTGGCTATGGCAACACTTTTGAAGAGAGCTTCCCTTTGTGCCAAATTTAATTTTAGCCAAGCAAAGGTGGTTAAGAGGGATGATGTGAGGAGATTTATCTGTTTAAGTAGCACAATCCCTGTACTCCATCCCCCATGGCCTACACTATAATGATCTCATCGCTCTCACACAAAAGGGCCTGGAGGCTGGTTCCCCCACAGCTGAATCAGCTCCAGTATTTGTGTGTGTAATACTGGACAGGACAGGACAGGGCTATGCTATGTTCACAGTTTCAACTACAGAGATGTACTCACACTTAGAAGACATGGTGAGAACAACGCTGGTCATCTTAAGTGGTAAAAAAGCTATTGAGTGGTAATGGAAGATGTCATGGCAACTAGATGACGTTTTTCTAGCTGTTCTTTTACGCTGGTAGTATTGTAAATGCTAGATGACTCAAAATGTCAAGGATATGGTTGGGTCATTTAATCGAGATGTCTACAGCTAGTCCTCTGTCAGTAAAATCATGTGCTTTGGAGCAGAGTTCAGAGTTTAGAAAAAGAAATGTTCTACTTACTTCTTAAAGGTCCATTGTGCGACTTTTCTGGTGGAGGGTCAGTCAAATGCTTTTCTCCATGGAGATGTTATTGCTTTGTCTGGAATGTTTCACAGTATGGTATTAAACCTTTCAACCCTCGTGGAGACCAAACCAGACCAAGTTACAGGTCAAGTTTGTGGAGAGGCAACCGTGCTCACAGTAAGAATGCCTGTTTGTCTACATATTTTTGAGCTTTAAAACCACCTGTAATTTAATAAATGTAAGGTAGAGCTGTTTAATGTCTGTGGAAAATTCCAGACAGAGCAAAGACACATCCATAGAAATAGGTGACAGCCCTTCATCAGAAAAGTTACTCAATGCACCTTTAAGGCTATACTGTTTTAAATTAGGAAATACATGTTCTGTCATATGGCTCAGCCCTGTAATTGTCATTGCATATATCTCATCCATGAAATAGGAATTTTCCACTTTGAGCTGCATGGTAGGAACTCACAACCTTTCTTTTTATCCGGTCCCTGTTGTGTAAATAAGGACCATAATTATTTCTTATCCTGGCACTAAACACAAATATTTTGTCTTTAGAATTCCATTTAATTCAATATAATAATATAATAACAAAATATACTCTATGGTATAAAACTGATTTTACTATCGAGTACGGCATGGAGAAATAGATACAAGGCATTCAACACCTGCTGGTTGTTTAAAAAGTGCACTATGTACCTTTTGCTTGTCTCCATGTAGGTGATATTGCTTTGTCTTGAATGTTCCATAGTATGACATTAAACTTAAATCTTACAATTATAGTTGCTTTTATTGCTCATACGTTCAGCAAAAACATGCATTCATATTGTAAGAAGGGTAACATTTATCTGCAGATCTGACCTATAACTTGGTCTGGTGGCGTTATTTGTCTTTTACCATGGAAACATAATGCTTAATGTCATACCAGGCAAAGCAATAACATCTCCATGGAGACAAGCTGTCACGCAAAAGTCATACAGAGCACCTTTAAGCAGAAAGAGAATATTTATTTTTGTCTCAATTATCAATGAGTGAAAATAATACAACACAAGTAGTAATAATGCTATTCCTGATGAACATACTAATGGGGAAAATACTAGCTCAGCCCTGTCAGTTTGAGCGGGCCCACAGTTCCTCAAGTACCACTTAGTCTCTAGGGGTCTCTGAGTCTGTGTGGAGCAAAGTGGCCATCTCTCCCACCTGTCATCGCTGTGTGCTGGCAGAGGAAAGGGCCAGCCAACAAGGTGCCAATGAGCTGACAAAACAAAACCTCACCTTTTACAAGCCACAAACCACCACCGTTTTCTCCAAGCAGAAAGCAGAGAAGAGCACAAATAGCAACGAAATAGACAACTAGGCCTGTTGCGATAATTACTGACTTATCGTTCAATATATGGAAGCTGGAACGAATGATTTTGGGGATCAATATTAAGGCCGAGTAGCATTAAGAAGTTGCTGATACAATACATACCTCGATACATAGGCCACGAAACGATACATATCTCAATACAGTGCACTTTCAAATTGATATATTTCAAATCGATTTGATACGGGTCAATAAAATAATAAAGGCTAAATCATGGCTGTGATACTGAACGTCTTTGTTAAACCACTTCTTGTGCAAAATTCACAAAGAAACAAACCCATTTTAATCATCAAAACAGTGAATATGTCAAAAGCATTGCATAAACGAGTTTCCTTTAACAAAACAAACAACAAAACTGTAGCTCTGTAACAAAATATTTTAGTAAAATATACCAAAAAGTACTCTTGGGGATATATCGATACAGCAACCCACACCTACTGTATCATCTTTAGAGTTTCTTTCTACTACGGGGAATTTCAAAAAAATATATATATTTTTCACAATATGATGAGATTTGAGCAGTAAAAGTTTGAATAAATAATTTCTATGACTGATTACAAATGCAAACTAAATACTGAAGTGTTTCATTCTGCTGTTAATTATTGCAGCTCATGGTTTTTTTTCTTTTTTTTTAACAATATTGTAGATTCAGAATAGCTTTTAGGGGGATAATCCTTCTCTAGGGTTACTGTGTCAACATCATAAATTAGTTTCAATATTATCATTTATCGTCTATTTTTTCTTCAGCAATATATCACAATTTCAGTTTTGTTATCGTGACAACACTAATATTGGCCCAAATTTTTAGGTCGTGTTTATAGGCGTGGGCTGGACTCTTAGCATCAAAACAATGAGCAACATGTTCATATCTCTATTTCTGATACAGAAAAAAAGGAAGCATAGCCAGTGCGTGATATGACAAGAACTCTTATCAAATATTTCTTCAAGTTCTACAATTCTCTGGATTAAAACCTGTGTTACATCAGCACTTGCACTGTGACTAGTTAAATATTTGGATCAACTGAATCAACCCCTTCACTGTAGATAAGGCTTGAACACGTCATTTGATCATATCCATGTGCTCACAATGTTTCTGTCTCGCTGCAAGATTCAAACAAAGAAAGTCAACACTGAACTCTGCCCCTTTGCCATGTTTGCTTAACCCTGCAGCTGTTTTGATTTGCACTACACAAATTCAGTTTCATTCGAGACCATTGCACAGCCATAACTTCAACATAAACAGCTTTTATTGGGATTTTGGAAACAGAAGATGTGTTTGGATTGGAAAACTCTGCGCCATAAAACAACGGAAGAACTCAGTCATTCCACTGGCATTCTTCTGTCAGTCCTGATAACTGGAGTTTGGTTCACTTTTACCATATCAGACAAGAAAATCTATATAGTAATTGAATTGTCTTTACCTTGTTTAAAAGAATAATACCTTTGGCTCAATAGGTCTATGAGTAATGAACACAATGGAGCAGGTGCACTGGACTTCTTGGTTAATCCACTGTGTTAGCAAACACCTGTTCCCTTCCTTATGGGTCACCTCACAAAATCTCAGGACAAACCATTAGCCACAGTTGCCATATTGGTTACTGTTCAGAATAACTTGAAAATAATGAACAAAACTTTAAAAAAAAACATGTAAATTAACTTCTAATCTAGCCTACACTTAAAGTATACCGTATTTTCCGGGCTATTAGACGTGCTCTTAAGCCTCCAACCCCATCAAAAAACAACTGCATGCCCGCAATCCAGAGCGCCCTATACATGAATCCACTCGGGTGTCCCAGCATGACTTCAGTAAACTACAAATCCGCACCACCCACAGCGCACGCAAACACACACGAAGCAGACAGCGACCGCGCAGTGAAAAACACCCACAGACACACTCATCACTCCACACCGACGAGGAACGGAACGGAGGAACAAACCGAAAAAGCGAGTGCAATGTGCCACTTCTAGACACAACTGAACAACTGAGTCACTGCGAACACGCCAACAATCCAGCGGTCCCAGACAACACCCTCCCTACACGCCACAACTGAACAAAGCCCAGAGTCACCGTGAACACGACAAACAAGGTCCCACTGACTCATCCAACTGATGTGTTTTGTTTAAAGTCCGGTGCGGTTTATTTGTGAAAAAAGTTCGAAAATAGACCATTTAATGACAGTGCGCCTTATAATCCAGAGCGCCTAATAGTGCGGAAAATACGGTAATTTCTTGCTCCAACTTCTTCCAAGTAGCTCACCAAAGAACTTCTGAACTATAATTAACTAAAATTTTATGAATAGAATGACTATTCAAATTGTAAATGTATAATTTTCATGCCTAACTTTACTTTTTGCACTAATAAAAGGATAATGGTTTATGTTTTATAGACCTCTAACTGTTCCTATCTAAGGCTGTGGCTCTTATAATTACAAAATTTCTTGCGACCATTAAAATGAGTAGCTCTTTGGCATTTTAGTTTTGTAAAAGTAGCTTACAGGAGGAAAAAAGGTTGGAGACCCCTGCTCTATGGAGATGTTATTGCTTTGCCCAGAATGTTCCATGATATGACATTAAACATATCAACATTTATATTCATTATGAGTGTTTCTATTGCTCAAAAAGTAATTAGGGGTGACTCTCCACTGATCTGAATTGTAATGTAATGTAGTGTGGTAACCTGCTTGTCTTCCTGTCTTCCTTGTACTTCTACATTATGCTCTATACTGTGGAACATTCTAGAGAAAGCAAGAACATCTCCATGGAGACTCATAGATAGCAGACTCTTCACCAAAAAGGTTGTGCAGTCCAAATTTAAGATGCTAAGGGGCAAAAGCTTCATTTCAGCAACAGGCCAAAAACCTCCAGTTAATATCTCTGTCTGAAACACTTGCTTCTCCTCAGTTACAGCTTTGGTAAAAATGTGAATTTTTGAGGCAGCAGAGGGTCAGCAGCAGAAACGTCACAAGACTCCCTCCCTGAGCGTGACAGCCCCGTGGACAGAGAGCATTCTTTCCACCGTGGAGCCAGAGCCAGAGGACAAACTCATTCCCCTAACTAACTAGCCAGGCTGTTAGATCCAAACCACTACGCACAAAGTTAGCCCTATGACGATAACATATTTTGAAGCTCGATATTATGCTGTAAAGATATACTGCGATAAATGATAATACTGAAACTACTTTATGCCACTGACACAATATCAATAATGCAAAATAATCCTAGTAAACCAATATCATTCAAAGGCATGAGCTGCAACAAATAAATGGCAGAATGAACCAATAATTAGCCTTAGAAGTTAGTTATTCAACCCTATACAGCTGAAATGTTATTGTATTACAACAAAAAATACCCCGCTTTAACAAAGACATAATGTACACACAATAAATACTGAGCTCCGAAATATATTGTTCCAGCTTTCATATACTGAAAGATAAGTCAATATAGTAATTATCGTGAAAAAAATATAAGTATTAAAAGTTTACTAAATCAATGTTTTGTTTATGTAGATTAAGAAAATGCATAGGTTCACAATGCCATTAATAACAGAATACAATTGTCCTTTGAATAGATCACCTTTTCAGCCCAGCAGCAGGTTTAATGCAATACTCAGCAGGTTAATAAGTGTGTAATTTACTAATTTATAATGAATTCATGTTGATTAAAAGTATCATGATACGCCTCTTTGTATTGATATGCGTACTGTCAAGTCCATCACGATATATTGCCGTAGCGGTATTTTAAGTACAGCCCTAATAGCTGCGTGGTGAATCGAACAGAATAAGGTTAATGGAAAAGCTAGTGAGACTTGCTCAGAAACAATCAAGTTTTCTTTTTGTTCTAAAAGTTTGATGATTAAGCGTATTAATTTTTAGCTTATTATCATTGTTTGTTACAGCGTTATTTGCTAAAAGCTTAACAAACCAAGACCAAAAGAAATACAATCTCAGCGGTGGATATCTGGTTAAGTAACTAATACTTTCCCCACCGATCATACATTTTCATAACAGTCACATTTAGGAAAAAAACCCTCTATCCATGACTGATTTTGGATTTTTCCTTAGTCTTTCTTTGCATGCTCTACTGCCTTGGCAGTCACTTTTTCCTCCCTTCGTCTCCTTGATCATGAAGCCTTTAAAACAGACCGACTGTGGTGACAAAGTACAAGTTCAATGTACACAAAGCCAGAGCCGCAGCAATGACCTACTTTATACCTGCTGCTTGTAACAGAGAGAGGGGAGAGAGAGGAGGGGGAAGGAGGGAGGTTCTCCACTCCCTTCACCGTGACTGAGAGGCCAAGGCTGGGTCAAGACTGAGGAGTTGAAGCTGGACTTCCACGTGCCATTTGTAGTTGCTGTGAAGCTCTTTCAATGCAAGATTGTCTTTTAATAGTTTCTAAATGAACCTGGCTAGTTGTGAGTATTTAGGATAGTGTGTCCAACAGAGTAAATGAAATAGATTCCACAACAATTGTTAGAGTATTCTGCTTTCTTATGATACATGTCAATACTAGTTTTGTCAGAATACTAAGGAACAGAATCAATACTCAATGCTGAGTCCAATCAAAATAAAATAAAAAAAACTCTTTATTTAATTACAATAGCATGTAATTTTAAACATTAAATCATTGTACTTTCTTTTATGTTACCATGTGGCCTTATATCTGTATAATCCCTCAGTCGGCCAGGTAGGCGTGTACTAGGCTAGGCTATGTGGATTATACTTGTTCAGATGCAGCTCAAGATAATTTTAAAGCTATTCAAGAAAGGTTCATTTCCCTCTTCTGAATGGGACGTTTTTAGTATTGATACCTGCATCTAGTTTGATATTAGTTTCAGTATTGATTAGTGTCTGATTTTCGATAAGCATAAACAATTTTTTTATCTAAATGGGAACAACCAGAGAGAGAACAGCACACAGAATGAACTGATGCTAAATGCAGGACAATGAAATTACCAAATTAATCTAAATTTCAACTTCTGCATTTTGGATTCCAGTATGTTTCTCTAAACTGCCTTGAGATGTGCTGCAAGCAATACAATACTGCCCAAGCTATACTGAAAATCGTTCTTCAGCGATAAGATCAAATTACTATCGAGCTATTGTTCAATATATGTTGGATGGAATAATAATTTTTGAGGGTGTATATTTATCGTGGCGAACTTTTTGTTATTGTTCTGTTCTAAGATTATAGTTGAGCTTCATAATGTTAAATAACTTGTACTTCTGCTGTTTATTTATAGCAGTATGGTGTTTTTAACCATATTTTACATTTAGAATATTTTTTTGGGCTATTGTATCAGTTTCATAAATTAGTTTCAATATTTTTTATCGGCTATATTTTCTTCAGCAATATATCGCACTTCAAAATTTGTTATCGTGACAGGCCTAATCGCCCTGAACACATTTGACTTTCACTAACCTGGCATTCATTTATTACACGTAACAGTGCCCCAGTAACTTCTGCAGAATGCTATGTAGGTTACACCATCTGAAAAAAATATGAATGGCTTTTGCATCGCCCTGCACAAGAGGAAAGCCTGACTCTTGCTGGGACTTGTGCCATTGCCCTGGAAAGTCAAGCCAGCGATGGGAAGCCAGAGCAAGGAATGGCGCCCTCAGGGTTCAGTTCAACTCACAGGCCAACAGTCAAGTGCTGAGGCGTTACTATGAAACAAGTACCTCTGCTATGACATGAATGGCATCTCTACTGAGCCCACATATGCACAGCTCCACAATCCAATAGTAGTTTTGACAGCTATGATGCAGATACCAAAGAGGAAGTTTGGTGCAGGTTGTACTTCCCTATTCCTTTTTTCCATGTTAACCATACAGTTACCAGTTACAGCTAATAATTGGCCAATGTGGGTTACTTGTTTTAGACATAATTAACTTGGAAGCTGGACATTTTCTCTGGAACTGCAACTCAAGTTTGCATAACAATTTTCGCATATGAAACCGGTCAGCTTTTAATGCAATATATGCTGACATGTTATGTTATATAATGTTATATCTATGTCATAATTCTTGCATTCTACCATTGCAATAAGAAGAAGATTAACTTGTGGTTCAGTTGCCAATGCATTGTAGACTGAATGTTTAACAACGAGTCCACAACTGCCTAAAATATGACTAAACTGGGAATGTTGAAGTGTTTTTTCCTTGGTAAATTTCAAGCTGCAAGCAAGATCTCAAAACGCGGACACCTGCAAGGCATCTACAGGTTTCCCAGTCGGAGCGCGCAAGAAGGCTGATTATCTGGCGTCAAAGGAGGGCCCATGAAGAAGAGAGCACAAGAGTAAAGAGGGGGGTGTTATATTCCCAACTGTTGCATCCGACTCCCTAACTAGGTCAACTTTCATGCAGGAAACGCAGACAATAACTACGTACGGATACAACAAAAGAGATGGTCCCCTCTTGTACGCGGAGCCAGTGCATTTGATACGTGGCTGTCTATCTATCCATTTCCGCGGTTGGATAACGCACGATGAAAGTGTGGCACAAGCACGCAGCAGCGAAAACAATGCCTAAGCCAATTTCCTAGTACCCCCACAAGGCTACAGTAGCGTTTCTAAGAGTTCTCCAGCAATGCGTAATGTGCGTAATAGCCGTAAATGCGACTTTGCCTGTAATTTAAAACATACTTACCAGCTGTTCACTCTGCAACCAAAGACAATGTTGACATGAAGGCAACTTGCTGCTTTAACCGGCTTGTAATATCCCGTGCGTTGTTTGAGTAATCAGCAGTGAGCTAAACCAAGAAAGCACGCAAGAACCGCTAAAAAGATAGTCCGGTGAAACTTTGGAGGCCACACTTTCATCTAAAGTTGTCGCTAGAGGCAGGCGCCATGTTTGTGTCTGGGTTTGATAGTTTTGTTGGTGAGTGAGCGGTCCTTCCTAAACGTCTCTCTCTCAGGCTGGAACCGCCCAGAAACAAACACTCTCCAAGCTGCAGCCACTGGCGTCAAGTGGACCATGTGAAGCGCGCAGGGCACAGCTTCCGGGTAGGATTAAAAGTAAAGCGGTCATATTGCTGCAGATTTCAGTGCAAATCCAAGTTTATTTGGACCCTACCGTCAAAAAGCAGACAGTTTGAAAGACGAATTACATAATATAACAATACACACAATGCAATGTCTAACAGTGGTGGATTGGCTAGTTACATTAAGTCACAAGATCATGGCAACAGTGATTCACATAAACGATTAACAACATTTCGGCCATCTAAAAAAACTTTATTCAGTATTTGTTTCCATTTCCTGTTCTCTACGCATTTACAATACTCATCAGTACAATCCACAGTAAGTCAGTCTATGGCGCCCCCTATTGCCTGGTTAGTGCAAATACAATATTTCAAATGCAGGTGTTCTTTTTTTTTTTTTAATTACATCGTAGTTACCAGAAGATATTTGTAACAAGACATAATATCTTTATTAAAACGTTCAGAAAGATTCAGACATTAAGACTTTCTACACAACCAAATATATGTACAAGTTAGTTAGTTATATGTACAATTGGAATTGCAGAATATTCATTGTGTCTTTAGAGTGAAAACACCAAGTTGGGTTTATAGTTATGTACAGCAAATTAATTTATATAGTAGAAAGGTGAACTAGCACTTCATGTCATCTATTGGTGAGAATGTGATGAGTTTAGGGAGGCTGTATTCTTGATTGGGTGTGGATGGGGTGCCTAGTGTGTCAAAATCCAAGGAAAACGTTTTATCAGTTTTATCTGACTTTACTGGGTTTATTGCCCAATCCCAATTGCTGCTCAGCAGTATTTATTTGACCAAACAAGTTCTCGGTGCATTCTTGCTGCAGAGTTTCCCGTTTTAGTTCCGTCTGTAAATGGGGTGACACTTCCTCCTCGCTCTTCACGTCCACATCATCAAGGCTCAGTAAACTGTCACAACTTGGCATTTCAGGCAGAGTTTCATGGTCAAGACTAAACTGGACTGCACTGCTGCCTGTACCACTAGGACTGTCCATCATCTCACTGGTGAAGGTTTCCCATCCCAAATTGGATTTCATCAAGGCCCCCTGCTGGCTTACAGAGGGCGTGTCTTCAACAACAGGGGGCATCACTTTTGGTTTAGTCGGGGCAGGAGCAAACGGGCTCTGAAAACTATATGAAGCTTCGCCAACAGGAGTGAGTAGACCCATTATGCTGTCACTGAGCTTGGTTGAGCGCAGCCTCTCAGCTTTATCCTCTTCAACTGCCTTTCGCCAGGAACTCTTCACGTCCATGACTTGAGAAAAATTAAATCAAATATGTAACACTGATTGCAAAATTTTGTGATAACTGTTTTACTTGCAACTTACTCAAGCTCTCAGGTGTACGGGGCAGCTGTTTTCTGGTTGAAAATGGATCTCCTTGAATTGTATTGAGAAGATCTTCCAAGTCCAGACCTTTGGCATGCCCTGGAGTAGCACTGCTTGTAGCTATTGCATCTGCAAACTGACAAAACCCAATCACATAAGCAAGTCTGACCAAGAGACACAAATACACACATGGCTTGCACAGCTTACCTGATCAGCTAGATTATCACACTCCAATTCTATTATTTCAGTCCTGGATCTTAGTGGTGTAACCTTGGAGAGGGTTAAAGGAGCACTGGATTTCACAATAACCTAAAAAACACAAGGATTCTTTTTGTAAATTTAGTTTTTAAATTTATTACGAATGAATCTGTAAAGCACCAACTTTAGGCACTGGAACTGGTTCAGTGTTGACCGGTGAGGCACCATCAAACAGCCAGTCTAGAGAAGTATTTGCTCGAGACGAGGCTTCAGCCGATACCACAGGCACGTTAGTTTCAAAGTCCAAACATACATTACTTTAAAAAAAAGAAAAAGGATTAATCATTAGAGAAATGAAGCCATTCATTTAATCCATCTTCAAATTTTAGATGTCTGCCCCGTATCTGTCCGTGACGATTTCCCTTAATTCGCCCCGGTCATCAGAGAGCATGTATGCTATAGGGAGGAGTAGTGACGGACAGAGCACCACTTTGGACTGTCCAAGTATCTACCTCCCATGGCCACATAAGTTTTAACAATCACCAATTTGGTAACATTTACCTTTTAGTTACTGGTTCTTTTGTTTGCTTCTCCAGTGGTTTCTCTGCCAAAGATGAATGAAGTTTTGCAGGGTACTGGGTGAATATGCTACTTTTATAACTTGCTTCTGGGGCAGGTTTGAAAGACAGTGGAGCCATTGGTGACAGAAAGCCAAGAGCCTAAACAAAAACACTAATTTCAGAACAGGAAGTTGTAGATAAATGTAGTAACACAAGACAGAAAACAAAAACTCACAGGATCTTCATTCAGAAAAGTTGTTAATGGTGTGGTTTGAAGAACATCACTCCACTTTCTATCCCACTCCTGCTCCAACTCTCTTATGGCTCCCTTGACCTCAGGGAGCTCTTCTTTTGAGATTTTTTGCCTACAGATCACAAAACCATTCATATCCAAGTCTTAACCGTATGAGTATTTGTTGATATGGATGCATTTTACCTAATGAGGTGGAGGTCCTGCAGAACGCGGCTCATTTGCTGACATTTGTCTTGCAGTTGCTCTGGTACAAGGAAAGCTTGAGGGCAATGGGAAACTCGAGCCTTTTCTTCCTTCAAAAGTTGTAGGGCATGGTTTGTCAGCTCAAGCACACTCAGGAGGTTCAGCTGCCCAGCTTCATAGACATTCCCAGAATTCAACTGACAAACAAATGTAAGTGGAAACATTTACTAAATCTGTAGACTAAGGCAAGGGTGATTACCATTTTAGTTAAAAGTACACAAAAAAATTACCTCTTGAGGAAGGTGCTGCATCCTTTCCAACAGACTGGGGGAGATTTTGAGAGCCTTTTCAGTTCCATCAAGTGCGTATTGATCTACATCTCCCTTTAAGACGCACTGAACTGCATGCTGCTCCTCTTGGGTTGATGAAACAATTCCTTCAATGGTTGACCACAAGGCACGCACCTAAAACCAAAAACATTAGTGTTTAGGTTTTTGGTAGGTGTCAGATCATAAAATGAGCTTACCTTTCTGGCCTTTTCAACAAGAGAAGCTTGATCTTGCACAGTGTCATCACTGTATCGCCTACACAAACATTTAACTGACAATTACCAAAATCTGCAAATACTAGATCAATTCAAAATTCATGTAGATAAAGGATTACATACTTAAGCAACTCATCATACTTTGCACCTTCAGCCTGAATCTCCCTCACAGACTTAACCAGGGCTCTGCCACAGAACAAAGACCAACAAAGGTCAATAAGTACCAGACATCTACACAGGTGAATTTAGTTACACTGATTTTACACGCACGCACACACACATGCACACACAATCTATTTTGTAAAAATGAATTTATCAGTCCTCAACTTTATCAACTTTATGGTCATCTGTAGCACAAGGAAAAAAAAAAAAAAGACAATCTTGGAAATGAAGTCAGGACAAACATTCAATATAAGTACACCATATATTGCCAATAGAATATTCATATAAATAAATAAATAAATAAATAAATAAAATGCACTGCTTAAGTTCACTTTTTGTATGACAGCAGGACTTTATCAGTGCTTTGGGTAACCTGTGTCGAGAGCAGCAACTACAGGGCAGGGAAACACATTTTGGGGAAGGGAAATCCAGAGTGCCCAAAGGAAACATGCATACTCCATATAAAAGGCTTCAGATGGCACAGAATTTAACCCATGGATGTCATGACCTTTTAGTTTTAAATGCTAGCAATCATGTTGTCATGTGTATACATGTGACAACACCAACTGTTTGTTCTTTTAGTAGTGGTCATCTCCAGTCCCCCATAATTTATACCCTCAGTGCAGCATTTTAGAAACAGCTTTGTTTGTAAAACATGCTATGGAAATAAACTAGATCTGACAATAAATCTATACAGTCTTTGAAACAAGAAGAACACTTACTGGGCTCTTTTCTGGTACTCCTGGAGGAAGCGATCCTGATCTACAGCTGTTTTCAAAAACCTGGCTTGGATCAGTTTCAGTCTCTTCACTGCCATATCGACAGAGGACGCAGGAAAAGCTGCAGCCTCAGGAACCCAGGTGCCATCTGTAAAATGATAGATAATTATGAAGTTACATTTTGCCATAGATCTTTTCCATTTCTTCTAAGATGATAATGTTATGCCTGTGCTGAAAGTCTTCATTTCTTGCACCATCACATGATTGGCCAAGTGAAGCATCAAAGTCAGAAATTTGGGGCCTCCAGGAGAGAGAAACAAGGATGCTTGGACCTTGAAGCCTGCACTGGCCTTCTCATCCTAGATTAGATAGATAGATAGATAGAATAGAATAGAAAATAATGAACAGTGTGTGTGTGTGACATGAAATATGCATCTTTGTGTAATTAAATCTTACCATTATTTCTCTTAGCCAAGTACAGGTAACTTTTCTAAACTCCGCATCTGCTTTGTGGTTCAGGACAGGCCAACAGTGCCTAATGAAAATATACAGGTTTGCATTAAATCACTTTTAAGGAAATACGTTTTTAGGCATTTATTATAAAACCTCACCTGTATAATTCATTAAGTCGTGCTGGGTTAAGCCTTTCCAATAGAAAACGTATTACAATATAAAACGCATCCTTATTTGGTTTGTCAAACATCGTCCTGGGGAAGCCAAAAACATACATTACAGACTACATAATAATGACAGTGAAATAAATTATACTGCTTTAGGTCAGAAATACTTACGGGCCCAAGTTGATGTGTTTTGCGCTGGTCTTTGTGGCTAAAGAGGCTATTTCAGTCTCCGGATTAAATCCCAAACCGAGCATCGCAAACCACAAATATTTGCCATTTATTTTCTGCATCGCTACTGTATTCTCCATTGTAAAATGTTTTATAAGTAGCGATTTCCAGTGCAAAAAAGTGCAGTCGAGCTCAGCTGACTGAAATCACTGCGACATTTACCACTAGTTAGCCTGTTAGCTCTAAACTTTGCTACTAACTTTAGACACAGCTTTACGATCGTCGCCACTCTTTTGGGTTTAGATTAAACAAAACTAAGTCAACACCGTAAACGCCATTTTGTGAACCCGGATAAAATACATAAGCATAAATATAAAGATAAGTTAGAGAAATAAGATGAGTGGAAGAAACAACAGCGAATTCACCACCAGACCGCCAATATTCCAAATAAACCCGGATGTTATGACATAATACTTCCGGTGAGTTACTTGTCTTTCGCTTGCATTTCTGGGTTATTTGAATAGATTCTTGCTCTGCTCTCTTGTAACTACTGCACACCACTCCCGTACTTTATGTGTTATATATGTGACTGTATGTATTTGAATATACTGAAAAAAAAAAAAAAATCCATGCTTTTCGCACACGATACTGAAACAAAACACTGCAACACTTGAAAATCGATTTAAAAATCGAATTAATCTTAGTTCCTTATCTTTTTTTAACTGTATTCCTATTTTATTTGCAAAAAATCCGACTGACAAAACTGTAGCAACATTGTCAACAATATTATAAGGATTAATGTATATGGTTGATTTCAAAGAACCTCCAAAAGCATTAAAAATGGCCACTCAAATGTATTCCATTCATTTTTTATTGTCGATTATACATGTCACTCAATTCTTTCAGCTCAAATTTTATTAAGAAAGAAGTGCATTTGTGATCTATTCATTCACACATTACTGAAGTTCTTTTAAAACCAGCTGACAACACTCAGCCACTTTGGAAGGGTCAGACGCTGTGGCGTATTTGGAGATCTGTGAGTTGACACCCAGAGACTTTGCCAAATCCCTGGCGGTTTGGTCTGAAGCTACTGTGGTTCCCAAGGCAACCAGCAGCCTGAAGACTGCCTCCTTGTCCTGTACTGTTTCAAGAGCTCGACTGGCCACGGACAGACACTGGGCCTTGGCTTCTAGATCGGGTTGGCTATGGAAACAGCTGGCGTAGTTCAGCACCAAAGTGGCCAATGCGATGTGGATGTTTTTGTTACTGACTGAGGCCAAATCGGCAGCTCGTGACAGCACTGTTTCACGCTGGGACATGAGTAGAGATCTGCCGTGCCTGCCGCTAAAGCAGTTACACAGAGTACGCAGGGCAAGCATCTGATTGGCTGGCCGCCCCTCTGGCCTCATCAGGTTGAGGATATGGTTGCATAGCTGTACTCCTTCTGCCTCTCCGCAAAGGGTTTCATTCACCTGTGGGTGTCGCACGGCCAGCCTCAATATATCCAAAACTGGAAACACAATTTCTAAAGGAAAAAAGGAAAAGATCTATAAGTAACAAATGTCAAATTGGTAAAAAATAAATAAAAACATGTACTTTAATCAGATCTTTAGACCTTCTGGCCAGTGAGTTGCCTTCCAGAGCAGGGTGATCTCTTGCATTGTTGGGGCAGGCTCAGAGTTTGAGGCACACACAGAAACCAGCAACCGTTCAATACTTTCCAAAAAATCTTCTGTTAGTTTATGCTCTTGGGGAGCTCCAGCATTTAGCTCCTTTAATTTGGCTACAACAAATAAATACATTTTAAATTCAAGTTTTACAATTGAAGTAATGTTAAACATCACATAGGCAAAATTGACTTGATTTATAAGACAGAATACAGAACTCACCAATGATCTGCGAGCTATTAGCCTGCTCAAAACTCACTCCCTCTGTTTTGGGGAAGTAGATATTTGAAGTAGTATGTCTAAGTGCAGCAGATGAGTAGGCACCTCCTCCTGATAAATGTGTAAATAAAGTTATTTTATGCAATAACACATATAAGCTACTTTACTTTTAGCTGATGATTCACCTGTAAATGGATCAGCCACACCCACTGGAGCACTGGAGTTTCTACCAGAGTCTGCCCCCGGGATGTAGCGACCAGCACCTAAAGGGAATAGTAATTTTTGTTTCATCTTCCATTCTGTTGGGATTGCAACAACAAAGCAGTCATACCAGATTAATAAGCACCTGTAAAAGGATCAGCCCCAAAGCCTGTGTTGTTACTTGAAGATCCAGGGACATACCGATTACCTCCTATGAAATACAAAACAGCACTTTATATAACTTGGATGAATAATTAACCATATTTCATTGAAGTTAAAACCCCTAACATAAATAATATATCTACTTTATTACTTGCTTATAAACATGCACTAAAGTAGTAAATATTGTATTACCAGTGAAAGGGTCACCTCCCTCTGGCTGGGCTGGTCCCACCACATGCCCTTTAGTGTTCTCTATAATAAAGTTGGCAACTTGGTCCAGAAACATTGGACTTAGGTCATTCCTCTGCAAAAAGTTGTGTGCTGTGAGCCATGGGTCATCTGAGACGTTGTAAGGCAGTTTCATGGATGGGCCTCCTTCATTCACATCAATGGTGAAGACATAATCGTATTCCTGAAAATGATATATTTTAATACATATGAGTTCTTGTTGAAATATCTTTTTTGGGTTTATAATTTATGTTTTAAATTCCAGATTTTGTTCACAATTAGAGCACATTTTGAACACATCCTTAAAACTTAAACTATTGATCCACAAGGGAAATTATATGGAAATTATTCTGAGAGAGCCGAGAGTGTGGCAGGAGGTTACAGTAGCTCCTGGAAACTTCCTTAAACATTCCCATTTTTTTTAAGTCATTCTTATTTGTAGTTTCCTTTTTAATTTACTTTATCTATCCAATTAAACACTATGTTTTCAGGGAGTTTTTTGTCTTTGGCCCAAGCCCCTACAGGGTTTCATTAAAGAACATGAAATCTGGCACAGTGATTGTTCAGTGAAAGTCCAGGGGGCAAAAGTTGTATCTTGCATGGTGTTGAAATGACGATACCACAAAGTTCCCATGTTTATCTACATTGGCACATCAGCATCACCAGTGTGTGCTGACTTTGTGTTTTGTGATCAATTGATTTTTTTTCTTCTTTTTCGCTAGCCTTTTTGTCCTTGGCTGTCTGGCTCAGCACATTTTTTAACTGTAGCTTAAGACCAGTGATGGTTTATGGCCATAAAAACTACATAGAAGTCAAAAGTTTTATTTGTGGTGCAACAATCTGGGCAAAAAGTGAATGGAGCATTATTCCATGCTCACAGAAAAAAAAAAATCAATTAATGGATTAATGAAACAAGTGTGAATGAAGCAAAAAAATGCAACTTCATGTATGTTTTGGATAAGAGGATAACCTATGGTTAAAAGCACATGAAGTCAATTTTGCATGTGTTCTTTCAAAAACCGACACAATAATAAAAATGATTGTTGAATGAATAGTGGATTCTATTACAGGGTATCCCCAGGTTTGACTACCCCAAATTTAAGACTTTTTTAAAGACCATTTTCAGACCGCTTAAATGAAAATTAAGACCAACATCGCACCCATCATGCACGCGAAAAACACCAGATTAAATTCTAATAACAACCAACCAGCTATATCTATATACTATATCTAGAATCTAAGAGCCACTGTGGATTAAACCTACACTTCCCCATGATCCATCCAACATCTTCCGCCACTGTACTGATTGTTTACTCATTGCCCCCGGCGCCCCCAAAAACCAAAGTATTGTTTGCACATACTCCAAATTAGACATTTATTCACATTGTTGTTGTCTTTTTTCCCCTCCATTTAACATTGCACTGTAGTCCAGTTGAGTATACAAAAAAATAGGCTAATGAAATTTAAGATCTTTGTGAAAAGAATAAGACTTGGACAACATAATTTAAGATTTTTTAAAGCCTTAATTTAGGAACATGAAATTTAAGACCTTTTTTAAGACTTTTAAGACCCTGTGGCTACCTAGTATTAACTAGTAACTAATGTTACTCCTACTACCAATTCTGTTTTCCATTGCTGGGCTTTTGAAATAGTTACAATGTATGCATTTTGGAAGCTGTACAATGTTGTCTCTTGTTTTGCCAATTCTTCACACAGGGAATCTTGGCTCACATTAATGTGTCCTGGAAAACATTTGAGCAATCTCCTTTCATTAACCGACTGTTATCAATGTTTGCTCAACTGTGACTTCTGCACGCGCTCTGAAAGGAAACACTGTAAACTGGCTGGAAACATTTGTTCTCTGTCACTTCATGCAAAACCTTCTGTATATATGCACAAGGATTCAGCAGCTTCTAAAGAGGGAGGAGAAAGTACGTGACAGTAGCCAGAGCAGTGAGGCTAATGAGGTAGTTCTAGCCCTCAAGATTATTTGGAATTTCAAAGCAATAGATATAAACATTGTAAATACAGCTATGAAATGGTAAAAAAAAACATAATTTCTATGTATACGGTAGATTGATTAAAACAAATGCATAAATATGTCTTAAAGTATCCAAAATGTTGTTACCACTTTTCAAATCAAGTAGAGCATCAGAAAATGAAGTAGAAAAAATAAATCATACAAATCCTGAAAAAGGTTGGTTGACAGTCCCTGCATTTAGTTAGTTGAAACCAAATCCAGGCATATAACTACACTTTACTATGCTGGCCCAAGCGACTACAAAAGAATAAAACTCTCTTTATGCCAAGTTCAGCTGCAAAAGATTCAAATTCTTAATAATTGAACCAACCCATATAAAGTATTGGTTTGTAACGGATGCAGAATGTTCTTCTTTCTCCTTATCCGTTTTCTTAATTGAATTGGCTACACTGAACAGTGTAGTTCAGTGACTGGTTTGCCTAGCCAGCCAAAATCACATGCTTTTACAGTACATTATAATATTTCCAATGACAGAACCAATCAGAAAAACACTACTACTATAAACTACTGTGATAGCAGGTAGCAGCCCTAGTTTGAATATAGGTAAAAATACATTTAAAAGGATAATTATTGGGTATCTTATGTTTTACCTTTCCTTCATAGACGACACTCTTGGAGGTTTGCTGGTTTGAACCACCAACCACATCTCCAATTTTCACCCAGCGATCATCACTAACGCTCCACTGGTATGCCTCAACTTTGTCCCCATCTTTAATCAACCTTGTTTGTCCATCTCGATTACCTAAAGAAAACAGAGTGCAATGTGTCTTATGCAGTAAATATAAATATACATTGATCTGACTATTATAAATATCTATTCTTCTCACCAGGTTCATTAAGGTGCTCTCTTCCAGGAAGCTCTTCTAGTTTTAGATCTCCAAGGTCTCCAGTCTTTGGGTCAATAGTGGCCTTTGAAAGCTCATCTTCAAAAGCCTGGATGTCCTCTGCACTTGCAACACGGTCCTGAGCCTCAGTAAACACACGGATAATACCATCACTGTGGGTTGGAAGAACAAAAACAATATTCATAAAAAATGTACACACTCCAAAAGCAATGTTAAAATAACACAAAGCTGTCTGCAAACAAGGCAGTGATATGCAAATTGCAAAGGAGACAAAAGTTTACCTGGCACCAATAGCAATATCACCATTAGGCAAAATACAGCAACACCACACAGACTGAGAGGGCAAGCGGATAGTCTGTACACAGTCTCCCTTCCTCCATATCCTTAAAGTTCTGTCCTCCCCAGTGCTTACAAAATCTGTACAAAAGAAAAATGTAATTGTTACATGGAAGTTAATAAGTAAATTAGGATCTTAATTTTTCATCTTATATATATAATATGGTAATTTGTACATTTTTCATAAAGATACCTTCACTATTAGGGAATATTGCAATGCTGTAAATGTAGTTGGTGTGTCCATAGTAAACATGTACACATTCCCCGGTTACCAGCCACCTTCTAATGCTCCCATCATTGCTACAGGAAAAAAATTCATTGTTGTTGAGCACTGCTAATCCTCGTACACAGTCCTCATGACCTAAAAGAAAACATGCGAGTGGCTTGAAAACAAGTTGTTATAGATAAAATGACATTTCAATGTAATTTTAACTTCTTGGGTTCTTTTTAAAGACAATGCAGTAAAGTGTGTTTACCTTGTTGACATGTTTCGGCTGCTAGCTGCAAGCCATCTTCCGAACTGTCACCGGTGTTGGTGGTGACGTGTCGTATATCAGCTGTTGTTACTTCCTGTAGGCGTGGTCAGTCTGAGCGACCTGCCAGGGCCATCAGGCTGACCACGCCTACAGGAAGTAGGCGACAGTTCAGAAGATGGCTTGCAGCTAGCAGCCGAAAACATGTCAACAAGGTAAACACACTTTACTGCATTGTCTTTAAAAAGAACCCAAGAAGTTAAAGTATATAAGAAGACAAAATGAACATCTTTTGCTTGCTTGACATTTCAATGTCTTTGTCATACCTGTATAAGTTTTCTCACATCGACCTGCTTTCCATAGTTTTATGGTCTTATCAGCTGAGCCTGACAGCATAAGGCCTTGTTCAGGCAAAATAACGACACACCACACCGCTGCAGAATGACCCTAAAACAAACATGTTTACACTTTTAATTTTATTCTGCTACATGTCAACTGTGTTGGAAACACTACTGTCAGCAACAACGCTTAGACATACCTGCAGTGTCATCATGCATTTCTCATTTAGCCAAACTTTGGCTGTAGTGTCCCATGAGCCACTTAAAAGTGTCCCAAATTTGCCAGATGACAATGTACAAACTGAGAAATAGACAGTCCAAAGGGGATTATTCAGTCCAAGTAAGGTGCACTGTAACTTTTCTAATGGGAGGTACCACATTTGCTTGTTGTTATGGTTGTGTTATTGTTTTGCCTGGAATGTTCCACTGTATGGTATAAAAAACTTTAAAAAATGTATTATGTGAACAGATTAGCTAGTCCACAGATCTGACCTTGAACTTGTGGTGTGATCTTCTTATCGCCATATAGATAAATGTATGTATGTAATGTTATACTATTGCAGAAGATTTTAGGCAAAGCAATTTCATATCCAAGGAAAAGTTACAAAGTGGACCTTCAATATGCATCTCCTTGAGTCAGTTTTTTAAAAGCTTTTTACCTGTGTTTTTGTGTCCTTTGAGGATATACAGGGGCTGTGGATTGTCCAATGTAAAAACACATATATTATTGTCATTTCCGCCAGTAGCAATAAGTCCACGAGGATATGTGTCACTGGGGGCGATGACGCAAACACAAGAGACGAAATTGGTGTGTCCTGACATACAGTGCATCTCCGTAAATCCTCTGTTGGGACTGTGGTGGACGAAGAAAACACAACAACAAAGTTTCAGGTGAATGAATGACAAAGCTAGTTTCACATCAACTGGGTATTCTCTACATCTGTGCAGTTAAGACAGACATACAAGCACTGATTGATATGTAACATCAGAGACTTAAATGTTTAATCTCACTAAATGTGACCATTAAGATTAAGAAATAGAATAAACTAGAGAAAACCATGACAGCTTCTTAGCATTGCTAATGATAGCTACCTTGAGTTTGGGACCCAGATTCTTCCGGTGCGGTCTCTGGACACAGAAACAAACGCTCCTTCGGGAAAAAAGGCGGTAGCGAGACCCCTGACGTCCATTTCATGACCGGGGATTGAACACCGGAGTTTATAGGAGTTTTGCGATGCCATTTTTGCCCCCAAAACACAAAACAGTCCGATATGCCAAGTAACGTTGACCAGCCGTCAACAAAACCGGCGGCTAATGCTAACGGAAGCAAAGCCTCGTCATGGGAAGTGAAAACGTCAAAGGAGAGGACATGCTGACCTCTAGTGGTCAACAACAAGAATACATCAACATATAGATTTTCATATCGTTGGCTCATACAGTCAGTGATTATTATTATTATTATTATTATTATTATTATTATTATTATTATTATTATTATTATTATTTGTTAAAACATGAATGGAATCACATAACAAACTAACAGCTAATATTAACATTCAAGACATCTGAAAAGTGCTCTGGATCTCTTTTCTTCCTTCAAGGCGAGCTGTAACATAAAGTTCACAAACACTTCCAATTAGAAGGCAGCTGAAAATGTGATGTTAATTGCTGCTTAATTTAGGTTGCAATAAAAAAAAAAAAAAAAAAAAAAAAAAAAAAAAAAGCCAAGAAGTTTACTTACACATCTACAATCCATTTGTCCATGTCCGTGCACCTGCTGGCTGATTCTCAATGAACGAGCGAGTCTTTCATTACTACAGTAATGAAAGTGTGAGTTTTTTGTTATATAAGTTTTTTGTTATATGAAAAAAAATAAAACAATTTTGGTCAGCAAACGTTTTCTTTTTATGGAGAAACCGGAAACGAGGTGTAGATTATGGCTAACAAAACAAACCACTTGTCCCGTCCATCCCACAAGGAAGTAGCTGTGGTCCTGCGAGCGCTGGAGAGGACAGGGGGTAGAAACAGGTATTATTTTTATTTTACAATTAATTTAAACTTAAATCTGTTAATTGTAGGCCGTAGTTATGCCGTATATGAATAGGGGTTACAAAATCTAGGTCGCTAATGTTTGCTAACGTGATCAGGCTAGTAGAGCCAAGCCCAGCCTGAGCTGTCCTTATAATGAATGATGGAGAGGAGATTATCATGAAATAGAAGTGTATCATTTCACGAATTATGTTTATGTATAGAAGAAATCACGTACTGCTGTTCATTTGACAAGTGCTTTTAGACTACAATATTCAAAATACTGTCAGAGAATACTGAATTGGCTGGTAGTTTTTTCTCATGGGGCCATTGTCATTTGCTTTATGTTGTTCTAATAGAAATAGCACTTTTATTTCCTCAGTGGATCTTAACCACGCTAATTTATTTGTTATATCTTTTTCAGTCCCAACAGCAGCCATGAAGCTACGACTACATTTTGTGGTGGACCCCATGGGCTGGCTCTGCATCAGTGTGGTGTTTGGCATCTGGCTCTACAATTCATTTTTTGTCCCTAAACTTGTTCTACTTCCACACTACAATGAAGGACACATACCTTGGGCCATTGTTGTTTGTAAGGCCATTATGATTTCTTCAGTTTTGTTTTTATCTTGTGTGAAATCATGCATCCAATCCTAAATTCAGTCTGTTTCTTCAGGTTATTACATCGCATCTGCATTGTGCTTTGCGGCCCTGTTCAGAGCTTCCACAGCAGACCCCGGTCGTCTTCCTGTTGACCCTCATATACCTCATTCTGGTATAAAGAGAGTAATAGCAATTTTCCTAGAATTAGTTTTTTGTGTTTATATAATTGTTTTTACTATAAATTATTCAAAAATGCACCATCAGGACAGGATAGACAGAGACAAATAATAACAAAATTTACTCATTCTTACGTAGCTGGACAATAATACAATTAGAGATATTTTAAAAAACATTTTCCCAGAATTACAGTAATGCATTTTCTATATTTACAATTACAGTCACTAAATGTCCGTATCTTTAATCAATTTTGCTTCAAGTTTATACATTTGAGTTTTGTACTGATTTTCCTGTCTCTTGCCACAGAGCGAGAACACTGGGAGCTGTGCAATAAATGTAACTTAATGAGACCAAAGAGGTCGCATCACTGCAGCCGCTGTGGCCACTGTGTTCGCAGAATGGACCATCACTGTCCTTGGTTAGTAGAGTTGTACACTTAATAAAAAAATATACATGTAGTTTGATATTGCTTAAGTGTTATTTATTGGCACTGCATAATCATAACATTTTTATAGTATTATGTATTATATATATGTTTATGAATTTGAAATGCTTTCTTTCCAGGATTAATAACTGTGTGGGAGAAGACAACCATTGGCTCTTCCTCCAGCTTTGTTTTTATGCTCAGGTTCTCAGCTTGTTCACTCTTGTGCTGGACTTCTGCCAGTACTACTACTTCCAACCCCTGACACAACTGGATCAGGTATATTTCACTCCAAACCTCTGAAATTATACTGTTTAAAGGGTTTGTTAGATGTATTGTTTTATCCTATAGGAGAAATTTACAACACGACATGAACTGGCTTTGCTGCGAGTTTCAGCGCTCATGGGAGTGGTCATGTTTGGTGGCATGACCAGTTTGTTCTACACTCAAATGACAGGAATCCTTTCAGTGAGTAAAAGGGAGATAACAAGATTTATAACAAAAGAGCAAGCTAGTTTTACTTCACATGCACAAAAATGAACCAGTATGCAAGTCTTTAGAAATATAACATAGCAATCTGTACCATTTCATAAATCAATGCTAGAGTGACAGAACTAGTGTTGGCACATTGTGGGCTTGCTTACTAACTGAACTGATTCATCTTGTTTAACAGGATACAACAACTATAGAGAAAATGTCTCAGTTCTCAAATGACATGTAAGTATTTCCGATTCTGTTGTGACTGCTTTTGTTGGGATTGAAAGTCACTGCTACCAATGCATACAGTTTCTTTATATTTATTTATTAACATTTGAGCAAAGCAGTTAAAGATGCACTGCACAACTTTACTAGTAGAGTCTCTCACCTGTTTGTATCTATGGAGATGTTATTGTTTTGGGCTGGAATGTTCTACTACATGGAGACATCACCAGGCCAAGTTAGAGGTCAGATCTGTGAAGAGGTGACCCCAGTAACAGTAAGAATGCATGGGTTCAAAGTATATCTTCAATTAAAAGACCCGTAATTAAATAAGTGCTATATAAATGTTTAAAGCTATACTGTTTAACACCCCAGGCAAAGCAATACCATTTCCATGGAGACAAGCAGGTGGCAAAAGAAAAGTTAGGCAGTATACCTTTTAACTCACCTTGTTTCTAGTGTCCACGGCATGTTAGTGTGTCCCTAACAGTTAAAAAGGATGTTGGCATTAAATTGCTCACTTCTAACTGATGAATACTTCAAGTAGAGTATGTTGTTGTGTCATTGGGCAAGACATCTTCCCAGTTTTTGCCAATCTCAAGTGCAGTGACCACGATAACAAAAAGAATACATCTGCAGAATAAAGACAGAGTAATGGGGACAGAATGATGGCAACACTTGTGTTTCTTTCCCAGATGCGTCTCTTATTTCAATGAAACATCAATACAACTTACAGTTATAACATGGCTTTAACAAATAATGTATATAAGGTCCTTTAACAATAAAATCAGGAGGCTTTTTACAATCAATGGGAGTAATATACATTTAGCATACATGCTCTATGCAACTGTTATTTTAAAATAAAGATGAACAGCACGAGCAGCCGAATCGTAGCAACCACCCCGCGTTCTCCCTAGAGACCAATGGCTCCACGCAGCCTGGTCCCACTATGCCGCGATTTAACAAACTCCAAAACTATACAAGTCATTAAAATTCTACTATAATTTTTAACATGGAAGTGTCATGAAGCTTAAAGCTTTCATTTATGCCAATTTTTAACCAAATACAAACCTGTGGAATAAAGAGAGAGTCTTAGGGATAGAATGACAGCAACACTTGTGTTTCTTTCCCAGATGTGTCTAAGGGGGTCAGGGAGTTGGTCCGCCATAAACAACTGGGGGTGGGCAACAAGTGTCAAAGGTCACTCTCCAATATCCACACAGGATCATACGGAACATATGCAAAATAATTATTTTCTTAGAGATTATTAGCGGAAATAATAACAACTACAATACCAGCTACTAAATGTGGTGACTCATATTTGGGTGCACCACACTTATAGTGCCTGAAAGAGTGATCTGGGGTGATAGTTGGAGATGCTGTTTTTTTTTTTTTGTTTGTTTGTTTTGTTTTTGTTTTTTTCTAACAAAAAGTTAGTCAGGCCCAGGGCAGCTGTAGTTACATACAGGATGCAGTGAAACTAATTGAGTTTAGACAGTGAGTGAATAATGTAGCATCCAAAAAGCACTGAATATATCTGCACTGAATCATTTCCATTGTTACAAAGAATGTTTGTCTAAAAATGTGATTGTGTATTTAATTTAAATCTCATAATTTATTTGCAGGTTAAATTCAAAGAAGAAGTGGCAGAGGGCGTTGGCTGAGGTCTGTGGTACTCGATGGAAACTGCTGTGGCTGCTTCCACTCAGAGCGAGGCAGCCTCTCCAGTCAGGACACCATTACCGCTCCCACGTTTAGGTCAGAGATATTTTATTCCCTTTAAATTGTATGAGCTATAAGAACACTACACCAACAGGATCCAATGTCCCTTTTGCGGATTTATTAGAAGATATGACACATCAAACCTCTTTGCGTTTTTTGTTGCTTCTTGGCTTTTTTCAAAATATCTGACTGATTTTGAGGACTGCTTTGCCGAATCAAGAAACTCCAATGGAAAATTTATGTTTGTTTTTGCGCACTGTGAAACTTGACAACCTTTGAAAGACTTGGATTGCGTTGGAAAACAAGCCCTCACTCAGGTTAAATATATAAAAAAAAAACTTTATTAACTGACCTTCAATCAGACACGGAATGAGAATGACTGCAGTGTATATGGGGTTTTCTGTAAGATGTTGGTGCCTTGTTTTATTTAATCATATTTAATTTTGTTGCATGAGCTGGTTTTAATCTTATGTTTTTAAATATTTATTTTTATATGGGATTTTTTTTGTCTGAGGGGAATGTTGCAGTTACACTGGTTGATTTTTGAATGTTTTCCTTCATTGTTGTTGGATTTTTGTATCATGTTTTATGAAGCGTGACCATGTACTTAGGCAGCCTCAATATTATGACTGCTGACGGTAAAATACACACTTAAAATTTTTGTCATAGATGATTTTGTAAACATTTTGTCTTCAATGTGTTAAAAGAACAAGATAATAAGCCATGTTCTGACAAGGAGGAAATCGTGATATTTGTGATAAGAGCATCTCCAAAACTGCAGCTTAGTTTGGATGTTTTACTTGTCTGCAGTTGTCCATATTGACCAAAATCTGTTATGGACAACTGCAGACAAGTAAAACATCCAAAAAAAACTGGTAAACTGGTGACAGATTTTAGAATACATTGTTCTCCCACTTGATTTTGTTTATAGCAGCTTTTATGCAAATGAATAACTGATGTGTGGTTATCTTATCACACTCCATACTCTATAGTCCAATGAACTTAGTGCCCCAGGAGGAAAATCTCCAGATCTATTGTTAAAAACCTCTTTAGTATATTATTGTGTAGAGTTTGCACTGATTATGTTAATGTTTTAGACACTTCTGATGTTAGGTGTGGCTTTGAATATCAGCTGCAAAACTAATATTTAAGTCCATGTAAACAGCTGCTCGGAGGATCTATACTAAGTAGTTTAAGTGCCTGTAGGTTATAAGTTATTTATCCCACTTTTCACATCATTTGGTCTATATACAAGCCAAAGACCATAGGAACTCTTGCAATAGTTAGTATGCAGGCAAGCAATGCATGTTTCATCAAAATAAGTGCAGCTGGTGATGTGAGTTTTATGCACTGTTTAAGTACACTACTGCTTGTGTGGTACTTTTTAAAATTATTTATGTTTTATGTGTTTTTAGGGATTTTATAAATCTCATATTGTTTACTTTAATGGAGAGAGATATTCCATGTGGAAGTTAATTGTGAAATTATTTTGTTTTTATGTTATACATATTTTACGTTTTTATTTTATTTGTATTCAATAAGCCATATTTGCTTTGTTAATAGTAAATTAACAGCATTAGTCTTTACTTGAATCACAGAATAGCATATCCAATCTATTTTTAAAATAATCAGCTTCTGCATAATTGATGAAATTGTTATAACTCCTTTACAAGTTAAGTTTTCATTAGCATTCCTAAAACCGTGTAAGGGGGGTAAATTATGTTTCATCTAGTTTGTTCTTGTCCTTCAAATACTGCTACAGCTTTAGACACTTCTGTGGTTAAGACAATGACTACACAGTAAGTACTGTATATCATTTCACAATTTATGGTGTAAGTGTTTTGAGCGTTGAAAATGTATCCAGATTATAATAAAATTGATTATGAAATATTTGTGATTAATTAAATAATTAATTAATTCTTTTTTTTTGTACTAATTGAACAGTGTGAGAAATATAACAGGCTTGATTAAATTAAGAGTGAACATTCAAGAGGAGTGGTTTAGTTCTTTTCGTCACTAAGTGAACAAAGAGTCTATTGTGTGAGTTCCCATGTTCCCAAGTTTTCATATGCCAACACTCATAAAACATATACAATATAACACTCAATGTCCCATACAGAACATTCTATATCTTAATGTACTTTCTGAATACCATAACAATACCAGTCTATCAACACACTGCGACCTGGTCTCTCGTCTCAACTCAAATGCTCATTGTCCTGAATGTTCTTAGGTCTCAGTGAGGCGTGTGTAATGTGTGAATGATCCGTGAACATAATCTTTGGACATTGTACAGAATGGTTACATGTTCTGGTGTAGTTTGCACATAGGCGTCCTCAGGCGAACCCCTAGTCTAGTCGGGATAGCCTTACCCAGAGTCTCATTTGTACCAAGCTACTGCTAGGTCATTCGAGACTGGTCCTGGAAAATGAGAGCCAGCACTGCAGTACAATACACAATACTGTATACTTCATTCAGTCTACCAACTTGTCAATGGTTTAAATTGTGTAAAAAAAAAAAAAGTATTATTACATTTTTTCACAGACCTAAATTACTTCTTCTGCTTCATTTTACTGCACACCATGCTTCTGCTACTCAACTGCAGTTTTTGTATGAAACGTGTTGTTATTTTTGACAATTTTAAGGAAAAAATATGTGAAAAATCAAGTCGTGTTTTTCAGTGGTTTAGAAAAGGTCTACACATTTAATATAATATCTGCTTAGAAATATACAATTTTTCATTTGGAATTCAGTTCACAGTGCACAACCCAAAAAACAGGACAATAAAAACAAAACATTGGTCCATTCATATATTAGACAAAAATACTAACACAGATACACCTACTTTGAAATGTGAATGTCCTAATCATATACATTACCTACATCATCTTTATGATGAATATAACACATCAGATAATCAAGAGATCCAGTTCACTAGGAGACATTTTCTAGCACAAAAAAATCTACATTCTGTTCGATTTTCTATTATACTTATTTAGATTTACAAACTGTTTTCTTTTTTTTTAATTTTTTGTCCAGTTATTTGCCAGAATTGTTGCACTTTTGGATAAGACCAAAAGCAGTCTATGAGGATACCAGTCAAAGTCTTGCACTTTAAACACAGTGGGGATGAGTTAGGTTAATTATTAAGGTAGGTAAATGTATTGTGTCTATTGCAGTCTGATTATTGCAACAGTTCAAACTATGATTGCGAGTTCAATTATTCCTGAGCAGCTGCATACCATGGGATAAAATGTATTTAAATCTGGGTTGATCATGTCAGTGCCTGTACAAAACACCAAAACCCATACAAATAGACTTCCCTATTCGGATCTCAATTGCAGTCTATTGTTAAAAATCGTGTTAAAAATCATCTGTGCCTCGTGGCTTTTAAAATGGACTCATCCGACTTCATACACCGGCGGTCAGACAGGGTTAAACAGGCTTAATCTCAAATGATGGCTGGTGAGCTGTGCTAATTAAATAAGAGGCCACCTGCTACTGTTACAGTCAGTGGCATCTGGCCGAACAAAAGAAATAATTAGCCACATGCCTAATAAACATAAATGCGCTCAGAGTTATAGCAAGAGACTCGTGTATCTGTGTCTCGGAGAGGAGTTGTGTGGCATGGCTTGGCTTGATATCTTGTCCAGATTAGAAAAAAAGATTAAGAATACAAAGGTAGCAGTTATTACCAGTGCTTGTAATTGCTTTGAATGTGCAATTTTACGCCCATATGGATCACACTGGATCATAAGGCTTGGTGTAATTCTCCAACGCAATCTTGACTGTACATGTTTTTGTGTGTTACTTATACCTTGTTCATCTAGCCCAAAGCTTTTCAAACTGTAGTGTAGGTCCCATAGTTATGCCACAGAATAGAGAATCAGTACAAAAGTCAATAACTGTTACATTTGGGTCTAAAAATACAAGTGTCCTTTTTCCATACTGCAATAAACATAGTATTTTTGAACATCTAACTTGATCAAATGTATAAGTATGTTTCACAATATATGCTTGAAAAATGTACTAGCTTTTAAAAACCTAGATGAATAGAAATTGCGTTTTACATGTGCAATTTTATTTTATCTGACATTTTAAAAACATACTCAGATTAGTTTATTTATACCTCATTCATTTAGACTACAGTTTCCCAAACTGTGGTGTAGGTCCCATAGTTAAGTCACATAACAGTGAGTCAATGCAAAATTCAGTAACTGCTGTATTTGAGTCTAGATTTGGTGTTATGAAGAAAAAAAAAGTTATAAAAACCATAATAACATAATATTAAATAAATAAATCTAACTTGAACAAATGTATTTCAAAATATATACTTAATTATTTTACTTACATACACAGACTGGTTTATTTAGAGTAATATGGCCTTTTATTATGACAAACAATATAAAATTCACCCCTTTAACCATTATTATAAATCACTTTTCTCTGGACACTCCGTTCTGCCACTGGCTTCATGCCGTGAACTTTCCAGATACTGAAGTTATTGATTGGTCCCTATTGATTTTCAAATAAGCTCTCGTTGTAGAAAGTGGAAATCCAATTAAAAGTTGAACTTGAAACACTTAATCCAATCAAGACGATGATATTTATCGATTTTACTCTCAAAATCAATAAGGAGCTGGCTGCGCTGGTGTGTGGGGAAGAGCTTGGCCCTCAGTGGTCTCTGCTTTCCCCAAACAGTTAAACATCTTCATTATCTTTATTTCACAACATCATTCAACATGCACTTGACCAAATGAATTCTATCTCCTTCTGTGCCAGTATTATGTCATGGGAAAGGCCTTATATACACTGTACTGTACCCTGTGTCAATATCTGCAGCCTCTTTGCTCCCTGGTTAACAAATGAATTATGTAAATATAAAAGTCCTTATTCTCACAAAGTAATATTTATTTACTCTAATTATTTAGCATGAAATTTTCCTCAACAAAGTCCTCTTCTATCAATACGGAGGGTCCGCCACCTGCTTGACTGCATGTCGGTGTTGTTGTTTTTTCCCTGGAATGTTTTACAGTATGGCAGAGATGGGGACTTGCAAGTTGTAACTTGTACTCAAGTCAGACCTGAGTCACTATTTTCAGGACTTGAGACTTGACTTGATAAAATGGACTAAGACTTGGGTCTCGACTTGGACTTGAAGGTCATTGACTTGGGACTTGACTTGGACTTCAGGCCTGTGACTTGAGAAGACTTGAGAAGCACTTTTACATCTGAATTTTTTCTGTTCTGACTGTAATGATTTACACTAAGATCTTTTGAATCTAAATTTATAAAGGAAAAATTAACTAAAAAAAATAATTTCTACAACTCTTATATACTCTAAAAATACTCATATAAATATAACATCACTTTTTAACTACAGTTTAGTTTAAAATTCATATAAATTGCAAGAATCTAAACTTTATTTGGTGCTTTGGTTTAAAGACGTGAAATGACTTGAAGCTCAAAGCATTGACTCGAGACTTGACTTGGACTTGCCTGTATTTGACTTGAGACTTGTCTTGGACTTGCTGTCAAAGACTTGAGACTTACTTGAGACTTGCAAAACAACAACTTGGTCCCACCTCTGCAGTATGGCATTTAATTGAACTATCTCCAAGGAAACAAGCAGCCACATTACCAGGTTACGGGTCAGATCTCTAGGGAGGTGGGCCCGCTCACTGTGAGAATGCATGTTTTTGTGGTAGTTTTATCGGATGTTCATTTCTGTATCTACCAGTGCAA